ATGTAGTATGCCTGACGCATCACCTTGCGCATTTTAGGGCTGACTGCAAGCTCTTCGGCGAACATCGACTTAGCGGCTTTGAGAACATGCGAACTATTGGAAAAGTCGTTGTCGACAAACTGATCTGCCAGTTCTTCGGGCTGTTCAGTGGGATCTTCGGTGTATTGCCGGCGACCTTCCTTGGAGGCATTCTGAGCAAATGCATCTGCGGTGATGCCAAAAGCACGCACGAAGCCATAAGCCTTGCCATTCCGAACCCGCTCAAAGAAAGATCTACCAGTGGCTTTTCGGCGTTGCGTTTCTCCAGTGGCCTCACCGTTGACCTGGTTGAGATCACGTAGCTGTGAGGAGTACTGGAAATGGATGTAGTCCTGCACATCTTGGAGCTCCTCCATGGTGGCGGCCGCAGCAAGTTGATCCTCGACGTTGGAATCATTCACGTTGAAGAGATTTTGCAGGTTATCGTATGTCTTTTTGATTGTACCACGCTTGTCGACCAAAGCGCGGAATTTGAGATCATGATCGAAGATATCCCATAAATCAGTCATATTGAGGAGTTTCTCAGCGCGGATGCTGTATTGGGCAGAGTCATCGTCGGGATCGGCGCCATTGGCCATATCTTTGACAGCGTGAATCATGTAATCCTTGCGATGCTGGAAAATGAATGGCACTTCCCAATCGTCCGTGATTAGGAATTCCAACATCTTGGCGACGGAGCGCTGGAATGGTTCGCGCAATTCAGGATCCATGCGCTTCTTGAGCAACATCAAGTTCGAGATCCAGACTGCCTCTTCCCGGAATTGATCCTCGGTCAATGTCACATGCTTATAGGGCTTGCGAGCAACCTGATGGCGTTCAGGTTCATCGAGAAGACGAATTTCGTTATCATCCTCCGTCAACATCCTCTCGGCCAGCTCAGATGGTTCAAAGACGTCCTTCAAGTCTAGGTGACGTTCTTCGGTTTGTTTGTCGGCGTCCTCTTGGTCTTCCATCTGTAGTGCGAAATCGTACTCTGTGCCATCACCGAATGCAGCGCGCATATCCTCGAGTGCATTTTCATCCAAGCCCGAGGTATCAGTTGGAATCAATCCGGTCTTGTTGACTCTGGAGGCAGGCGCAACCCCAAGGTCATCCCGTTCGCGCTGGGCCTCATCGTCGGAGAAGGTATCTTCTTCAATAAAATCGTCCATCTCATCGCGCAGACCACGGCGCTGGCCTGGTCTAGCATATTGTTGCGCTTCTTCCTCTTCGTCCGAGTTGAAGATATCATCGACGCCGTGAGACGGCTGGTGGCTCTCGCGATCCTTGCCTCGCTTCAAGCGTTTAAACTTCGACTATTACCAGAGTATTAGAATATTGTCAAGTCATGAGTTTCAGCTTACATACCTCAGTAGGTGGTCCGCGATTTTGACTTGGACCATGTCCAATGAGCTCCAGATCTTCTTCATCAAGGTGCTCTTCTTCGCGAGCAGTACGTGGGCGTTTCCTGTGTTTGCGAGCGGCGCGTTCTTCTTCCTCATCTTCATCAACAATGAAACCTTCACGGACCTAAGAGTTTGTCAGCGAAGAGATACGGCGCAGATAAGGTTCAAAACTGACGGCGCGAGCAGCCTCCTCGTCATCTTCTTCTTCGTCTTCCTCCTCGCTCGAGTCATTGTAGTGGTTTGCGATGCCCGCGCCCTGGCCACCTTCAGCATCATAGTCGTCGGCGACTTCCTCATCGTCGTCATCCATGATCGCCTCACCCTCGATCAGGTCGTTAAGGCCCATCTTGAAGTAAAGATCCCTATTGCTAGGGACCGAGGAGAATGCGGATTCGGATGAAAGATTCAAGGTACAATGGCGCAGTTGCGACACCAGGTAGTGCCTAGCTCGTTGAGACGGTCGAAAGTGAAATAGGGAAGGTAAAATTGAAGCAATAGTTGTCAAGAGGAAGAATCACGGCCATCGGCGAAGGAGGATGCGGGTGGCGGTGATTGGCTAGTGCTGGTGTGGCTAGACGCTAGTCCTATTGAGGCGTCCTTATTGTGGCTTGAGCAAGTTATATCACGTGCTACTACTGTCTTTGTGTGTACATTGTACATTCAACGATGCCCTGGTCTGATCCTCAATATGCATATCGCTTTGTTCTGTTGATGTAGGGCCGAGAATTTAGACTATACCCAAGTTTGGACATTATCATCCACTTCATTTAGCCATAAAACCCGTCGCGTAGAGCCACAAGTACCCAAAGCCAGCCCAAAAAACTGGTGGAACCCCCTGAACACCTGTTGTTTCATTCATTGTACTGGCCTTGAAAGATCTGAAGATCATCCCTCATTTTATCCCTCCCATAATATCTGTAAAAACCAACATACTTCTGTTTGGCGCCGACCGGCACATTTTGGTCATAGTTGGTCGAATCGACGCGCCCGAAAGGCCCAATCAGCATCGCCAAGAACATCGCAAGGTGATATCGGCTTCCCCGCTGTTAGCTCGGGGGCTCGTTCTGACCACTCTGATCCCATCGGCTTGGGTAACGCGGACTTGATATCACTTAGGCGGTTGGGCTCTTCGTTTTCTTTCTTTCACAACTTCCCCCTTGTGCAACTCCAACCTCCCCCCCTCAACCAAGCGCCATGGCGGACCAGTTCCAGGCTCGTACGTTGAAACGCAAGAATGTCAAAGGTCTTGCTCTCAATGCAGCCCCTAAACCCACCTCCAATACTCCCGATGGCGATGCACAGGCCCCTGGGCCTGTTGGGAACAGCGAAATCAACAACACAGATACCCTCGAAATCGGACTGGAGTTTCGCCTCGATCTTCGCAGTGAAGACCTGGTCACATTGAAGGAACTTGGTGCTGGAAACGGAGGTACTGTTTCCAAGGTGATGCATGCATCCACCAAGGTGGTGATGGCTCGAAAGGTGTGTGTGTTGTGTATTGCGTTTCTACTTGTTGGCCAGCTCTGACTTCTTCATTCACCCGCAGATTATCCGTGTAGAGGCCAAAGAGAACGTGCGGAAACAGATTCTACGAGAACTTCGTGTCGGACACGACTGCAACTGTCCCAATATTGTCACTTTCTATGGTGCATTTCAAAACGAAGCGAGAGACATTGTGCTATGCATGGAATATATGGATCTCGGGTAGGTGGACCGATATGGCAAACAAAGAGGATATAGCTGACGGGCAACCAGATCTTTCGACCGCGTTTCTAAAGATTTCGGCCCTGTTCGAGTCGATGTGCTAGGAAAGATCACCGAGTCGGTCTTGGCTGGTCTTGTCTACTTATACGAAACCCACCGCATCATGCATCGTGATATCAAGCCGTCCAATATCTTGCTCAACTCCCGCGGCAACATCAAGCTCTGTGACTTTGGTGTTGCTACCGAGACAGTTAACTCGATTGCCGATACATTCGTTGGCACTTCCACATACATGGCTCCTGAGCGAATTCAGGGCGGCGCCTATACGGTCCGTTCTGACGTGTGGAGCGTGGGCTTAACGGTCATGGAGCTGGCCGTTGGAAAGTTCCCCTTCGATCACTCTGACTCTGCTGCCGGAAATCGTGCTAGCGCAGGGCCGATGGGCATTCTGGATCTACTTCAGCAAATTGTGCACGAAACAGCTCCCAAGCTGCCCAAAAGTGATGCCTTCCCGCCTATCTTGCATGACTTTGTTGGGAAGTGTCTCTTGAAGAAGCCCGAGGAGCGCCCAACCCCACGAGAGCTTTATGTATGTCTATTTCTCTCTCTCTCCCTCTCTCTCTCTCTCTCTCTCTCTCTCTCTCTCTTTGACCTACAACTCTTTTTCAGCTCCACTAACTCTTTACAGGACAAAGATGCCTTCTTGCAGGCCGCGAAGCGCACACCAGTCAACCTCGAAGGATGGGCAGCGAGCATGATGGACCAAGACAAACGCAAGTCCTACTTGGGACCACCAATACCAACATCGCTCTCTAGAGAGACCTCGACGCCAATCTCGAACTCGACATCATCTCCTGCCGCAGCTCCCACATCAGCCACTATGGGAAAACCCCCTCTCATCAGCAAGCCAACCCGAACCCCACAGCATTCACCCTTCCCGTCAAACCCAGTATCAGGCGACATCCCCCTAAAGATCGCCAACGAGGTGCCATCCAGCCACCGTTACTACCCCCAGTCCCAACCCCAGCCCCAGCCTCAATACTACCCATCGTCCTCGTCCCGAACCACGCGGTCTCCGCCACTACCCTCTCTAGAGCACCTCTCACTGGAAGCAAACGACGAGGACAGCCGATCCGGTCGTCGCGCGATGCGTCAGCAACTCAACGAGCCTGCCTCCGCTATTGATGCCCCACCCCGCCCATTCATGAGCCCCCGCTCCGCCAGCTCCAACAACTCCAATCCCCGCACAAATCTGCACTCCACGACGATGCCCATCCGCACCGCGCCTCCGACTGGCCCGCCTCCCCCACCGCCTGTTTCGGCAGGCGGAAACTGGCGCATCCAACCGGGAACCACCCCCCGGTAATTTGGTGATGATTAGTTGATCTACTCGGATACATCTTCGTGCTATTTCCTTTCCCTTGTCATGTTTATGTCCAGACGAATGTGCATATACACATGAAAAGCCGATGTAATACGATCTCGGCTTTGATGATTATGCACTCCTGCTATCTCCTTGTCGGCTATGTTGTTCTGTCTGTGTATTCATGGCGCTCTTGATAGAACAAAAAAAAGAAGTCAAGACAAGCTGCATCAACAGCACTTTCTTTTCCCTCCATCGATCTATGGATATTCCTCTTTTATTCAATAACTGCTTCGATTAAAACATCTGGCAACGAACCCTATTTTGTTCATTTCCGACTCTATCTTTATCTACTGGGCTGTCTTCCTGCATTACACGGCGTACATAAATGAGTGCAATTTCATACTCGTTCAAACTCTGGTAGAAACATGTGGATATACGTTCTTTCGATACAACTTCCCGATAACCCACTTATATCAATAAATCTAGATTTCAGATCCCACACTCACTCAATCAACGTGGGGGATGTTAGCTGTCCAGCTACCTATAAACGCGCCTGGAGGAAGAAAGGCCAATGAGCGAACGACCTCGACTGTTATAAACAGTCTCGCCAGAATAAACACGACCACGATGAGCACCATCAGAAATTTCTCAACCAATTCTAATATCTTTGGTTGACTTTCGATCTTGAACACCTTCAAAAAACTTGAATACAAGATCCGATCAATCAGATAGGCAAATGGCATGGCAACAGCCGTTACCACCGAGCTCAGACGCCAGAATAATTTCTCCGGGGCTGTAGGGAACTCAAAGTTCCATGCTATGCAGTGGGTAGCGCCGAATAGAACTAGAGCAAACAAGCAAGCCATGCTCATCGCGTATCCTGGCGCTTTATTTCGGACATCTCTATGCATGGCGTTATTGGGTATCCAGACGTTGTATTTGGGACCATAGCTCAGCGGGCCAGCATTGGCCATGTAGATCAAGTCTTCCGCGGAAGGATGTCTGACAGCTTTGATGGTATATGCTGTCCGGACATCTTGGGGCTTACTGATCAACATGACATATGTGATCAAAGAGCAGATTGCGAAATATAGGGTAAAAATCTCGAGCGGGCTTGTTGGGAGATGTCGGCTTAATCGCACACCAAGCTGAGTGAACATCCACGATATCTGAAGTAATGCTAAAATGTTGACGACAAGATCACCGCTGTTATGATCATCTAGGGAATCCTGCGACATGTAGGGCAGTTTATCAATTATTCCCATCTCACGGGCAAGGAGAAGCTGACTCGCGTCTACTACCCATAGACTGCCACAAAGAACAGTCAGGTTTCCAACCCAGTCCGTGTATGGCATGTTGAAGATTCTTTCATCCTTTAAATGGCCCTGGGAAACCATCCTGTTTGCTTTTTCGATGGCAAGGGTATTGGATCTATCCAATGCCCAGTCGATTTTGCCAATCGCATTCGAGATCCTCTGCATCGACTTCTGAAGATCCTGTGGGGATCGTATTCCCTTCGGAAGATCTTTTATAGAGGGTATCTCATGAGTAGCGATGATAGGATCTGAATCGGCAAATTGAATAGAGAATCCACCCATGTTGGCGTAGTGTATATGAGAGGCAGACCATGGGACGCCATCTCTCTCCTGGATCTCTGCAGATCGGGCCTTGAGTATCCTGACAGAGCACATATTACTGCAGGCCATTCCGAATATCCACTCTGGGGCGAGAATGTTGATAATTATCCATTTGAATTTCTTGGAGAGTCGCCAAAGCGTTCGCAGATACTTCTGGCGTTTCTTGGATGGTGCCGACTGGATTGGGACATTGAGATGGAGAATAGACCAAGTGCAGAGGCCTATCACGCCGAGACAGGACCAGACAATATCCAGAGTCCCTCTAGTGTTTGGCGAGAAAACAAAGCCTGCCGACTCTGGGGGATATGTACAATTGTTGTGGTATATCTGCATTCTGCGAATAGGTCTCAGGTCAAGAGGGCCGCCATGTTGGTTCTGCTGGGGGATTTGTATATGAAATCAAAACGTTATGGGCACAGCAAATAGTAGTTCAACCGTTTCAACTCTTCTTTGCTAAAGATCAACATGGCTTTGTTCTCTATAGTTATTGGTTGACTCAACGATGTTGGGCGGCTCAAGACTGAGCCCAAATCTATAACCCATCAGGAACAACGGCTATGACAGGATAAATATAGAACAAATCAGTAAATACATTCGTAAATACCAATTCTTCTATACTAATCCTTGTACAATTTGTATGTAACGTATCTAGGCAGCTTACAATCGGGTTGTTTCAAGGGCTATTCCGTCGCATATTGTTTCATATGTTGTTTCATAGAGAATCAACAGCGAAACAGACAACAGTACAACGAACTTAATATCTGAGGCGGCTAGGGATAACGTAGTCTACAATGTGTTTGATTAGAAGCATCTTGAATGACTGGCCGAAAATTTATATATTCAGCTGTAAAAACATGACCAAGGTGCACATATAAAGCCCATGTGTTCACACAGCAAACGGTTTCTCGAGACCAATAAAAACATGTAACAGGGGCAAATCAAACCCAGCAAAATGATAGCGCAAATGTATAAGCCAAACAAAACCGAGTCCTGAACACCAAACAAACCCCACGACAAATCAGTCAACATATTCTCTATTTCATCATGAGCTCTGGGCCAGCTAGCTGGCTGGGACCAGGGGGTGCATGGGCAACACTCGGGGTTGATGGCGCAGGAGCAAGGTCTGGCATTGGGATTGATATAGATGACTTTCCACCCCGAGTGCTGTTACTTGCACCGCGGCCAGAGGTCCCATTGCCGCCACCACGGCCACCGCGGCTTTCATGGACAGCGGATGCAGTAGTAGCAGCGCGGTCGCTGCCGCCATCGGTCTTCTTGTTGCCTCGTGGGCGGCGTGAGGTGCCACCCCGAGAGCCGGGTCCACGCAATGGTAGGCCAGTATCTTGGGAGACGGGGACAGCAGCTGCAATAGGAACGTGTGGGTGCGAAGTCACGGTCCGGCTCCGACCTGTTCCTCGCCCACGGCCACGGCCGCGTTTGATTGTACCGTCGGCGCTGCAGATAATTAGTAAATGTGTAGCAAGAGAATAGTGAGTGTCTGGACATACCGTTCCACCTGGACCTTTTCTCCTTCTGGAACCAGTGGCCCGCTGTAGACAAAGAACCCGTCCTTGCTAGCAGCAGCCTGTTCCTGCCACACCATTTCGGTGTCATCCACGAATGGATCATCACGGTCATATTCCTCGACCTTCTTGCGTCGCTTCTTCTTTCCATCACTAGCCTCCGAGGGCGCACCGTTGGTTCCTGTCCCAGTGCCGCCCATGGGAACGTCACCATCCAGATCACTATCGCGTTCCGCATCGAGGCTCAGGTCCTCGTCGGCACTCTCGCCAGCAGAGATTCCTTTGGCATTCTTATCATTTCGTTCCAATGCAGCTCCGGCAGCTGCCACACGAGCCATGCGCGCTTTGTGGGCGGCCAGACGAGGGTGCAAGGCAGCGAAGCCATATTGCTCTTCTGCAAGCCGTGCAAAGTTGACAATCTGGTTGCCCTTTTGTAGCGGAACATGAACGATAATGTTGGGTGTGCTACGCGAGTCGGGCGACTTCGCAGAATCATCCCCTCCGCCGAACAGCGCGTTTGTGATCAAGCCAGATCCTTGAGGCAGATGGGGGGTTTCTTTGGCGGGTCGAGCTGGCTTGGGAGATGAGGCCTTTGATGTCGGCGCAGTAGCGGTGCTCTTCTCCTTTTTGGCACTGGGTGCGGGCTGCTCTTTGGGGTCGATTTCCATTGATTCGGCTGGTTGCTGTTTGGGCGGAGTCGACTGCACAGCGGGTTCGGGTTGCGCGGGGGGTTGAGGCTGGCGTATCGCTGGTGGAGACGGTTCAGGTTTAGGAGTGTGTGATGGCGTTGGCCGCTGCTCAGTAGGCGGGTATGGGGTGGTGTACGGGGTGGACTGCGACATGGCCTGCGGGATTTGCATGGCCCCACGGGGAGTAGAGGAAATGGGAAGGGGCGATGGTGCTAAGGACGTATGTGAGGGCGTGGGAACCATCGCAGGCGGTGCCGGTGATGAGAGGCCGGATACATGGCCGGAGGAAGAGCGTTGAAGCGGGTTGTATATTTGTTGAGAGTTCTGGGCTGGCGGGTCGATAATGCTTGAGATCGCTGGCGATGCACTGGCACGGTAGGCATTGCGAGGAGAGACCGCTCGAGCAGAAGGACTATATGACGGTGCTGGAGATGGATTGTCAAACGCAGATCGAATGGGATCGAAGTTTTGTCCGCTGGTTCGCTGAGGTGGTGGTTGCGGTACTGGAGGTTGTGATTGCGATTGTGGGCGAGAGTGCGACAACTGATACGAAGCTGGAGCTGTAGGAGGGTGTGGAGTTGAGTAAGAAGATGGAGCAGGTTGAGGAGGTTGAGGTTGAGGTATTTGAGCAGGTTGAGTAGGTTGAGTGGGCTGGGCGGGTTGAACAGGTTGAGGCGTTACAGGGGCGTATGGAGGGCTTCGGGCGTCTAACGGAGTCCTCGTTTCCTCTGCCGCAGGCTCCAGCTTGGGCTTTTTCCGGGAAGTAGTGTTGTTTGATTTCTCTCGTGGACGACGAGGAGCTCGGGCCGGTTTTTCTTTAGTCTCTTTTGGTTCCTTGTCCTTCTTCTTGGGGTCGGGGTCGTCATCCTTCTTACGACGCGACCGCCTGGCGGTACCGGAGGCACGTCGGGCGCCTGTGCCGGGTTTGACTTCGTCAATGGGCCCCTCTTCTTTAGGTAAACTCGTATTAGGAGGATCCGACATAATTTGACTAATTCACAAGCAACAAATTGATGAAAATGACAGAATGAGTGAATCTGGTCAAAATCAAGATGAAGAATCGGGGAGTCAAAGTGGTGAAACGTGTCGGTATCAGGTCGGGAAAACAGAGATTGGGAAGAGGAACACAAGAAAGATAAGATGGCGACGGAAGAGAGAAACTAAGAAAACGCGGGAAAAGTCGAAAAAGAAAGGGACGCGGAAGGGAGAAGGGGAAAAATGTTGACAAGAGAACAGAAAATAAGAGGGAAAGGAAGAAAAAAAAGGAAAAAAAAAGAGGGAAGAAAGGGGAGAGAGAAAGCAAGCAGATTGGAATTAAAGCACACATTACATGGCAAAGTACTGAACTACAATTTGATATGTCAAGCTCTATATTTGGAAAAATATGGGGGAATTCTCATAAAACTCACAAGTTATCAAAGAGCTATATCTTCTATACAATCTGTAGAGTTCTATTTACTGAGGTCATTGTTGAGTATTGGAGATCCATATCCCATATTCTGCGGATCTTTTAGCCTAGAACCGTAAGTTGTACCTGATACAGGGATGGCTTCATTTACCGAATCTCGTGTTTCTTAGATCAGGTGATTCCCATATTTGGAGTTTGAGATCTGACTGGGACTTGTTATTTCTTTCGTTTGATAGATAATACAGGTCAAGGTAGTATCGATCCTACTGTGTATCCTCATGGAAGCTTATGATAGGTACAAATATCGACTTGAATGTTCAGTAAATATTCTTCAGCTTAAGAAAGAGGAGAAACGAGGATATCCTTCATTCCATGATTGATTTGAATGACTTCAATTAGTATCCAGCCCGTCATATACAGCATAGAAGATCACGAGTTGTATAGATGCCACGGATCAAGGTGAGCAACCCAATTGGGACTAGCATATCCGCCATCTCTCACTAGCCCATTCTGGTTAGACTATTCTGCAGCCCCATTTTAACTTTGGGAGCCGCATCCATGGCATCTCCCCGCGCTGACATAACTTTTTTTTCTCCTCGTCACCTTATTTACACATCATGGCTTTTCGCGGTGAACGCTTCCTCCTTGATCTGGATGAGGAATCCGGTGCTCCAGAAATCTCCTCTCCATTCTCCCTCGTCGGTGAAATCCAAGAACGGGCTCCCTCCACCGCCATCCCCCCCGCGCCTAAACTGCCGACCTCGTCGGCATCATCGACTGGGTTCCCTGCCCCTCGCCAGCGCAAGCCCTCTTCCTTCAAACAGCGACGATCAAATCAACCCACTCCTCCAACTCCTCCCCCTACTGAACCGACCGTCCAAGATGATAAGAAATCCATCGACGAGGAGAACCGCCGTCAGCTGGCGGCCATGTCGGACGCGCAGATCCAACAGGAGCGAGAGGAGCTGATGGAACAGATGGATCCAGGACTTCTAGAAAGATTCCTCCGCAGGGCAAACATCGAAGAGGACCAAAAGACAGAATTTTCACCGCCAGCACCTGTGGCGGACGAGAAATCCAAACCGAGGAAATCAGTTTCGTTCGACATTCCTTTGTCTGCACCGGTTGCTGCACCACCAAGCGCACAGTCTCATTCTATTACCAAACAATCGCCTAAGCCACACCCCCGTAATGAAGATCTCGCTCCTCCCTCCCTCCCTCAAGACCTCCACCCGGCCTCTCAACGGCCCTCTCTTGACCCAGCTACTCTCGAAACCTTCCACTTCCCCCAGCCAACAAAGCCAATGCCAGTCCTAGACCCATCTTCGCCATCTTTCCTAT